CTTTGCCTTTTGCTTTCCTTTTTTCCTCTACTATTTGTAAACACTCATCAGACAGCCACCTTGCTTTCTTGCATTTCTTTTTCTTTGGGATGGTGCTGATTGCTGGCTCCTGTACAATGTCACGAATCTCCATCCATAGTTCTTCAGGCACTCAGTCTATCAAATCTAGTCCCTCAAACCTCACCTCCACTGTATATTCATAAGGGATGTGACCTAGGTCAAACCTGAGTGGCCTAGTGGTTTTCCCAACTTTCTTCAGTTTAAGCCTGAATTTCGCACACCACACTGCTAGCAGGATCTTTTAATCTGCACCTAGTCCCATTACATCAAGACAACCTTCAGGATCACTAGAAGATAACATGAAGGATGAGAAAGACTACCCCCATCAAAGAAGCCGCTGTTAACACTTGCTCAGAAATCCCAGCAGCTCTGCAGCAGGAAACTGCCATAGTGAAGAAAAGGTTTGGGAATCTAAGAACACTGTGGCTATAAACTTTGCAAGGGCTTTAAACCATAAGGTTATTCACTTGCCACGCCTGTCTTTGCCTTTCCTTTTAGCTTAGTACATGAGGTTTATCCCATTTTACCATCACACCAATTTTGAGAGGTAGGTAAGGCTAAACAACATGTTCAAGCACACCCATGAAATTCATGGGTAACCAGAGTCTTCTCAGTCCAACTGCAATTCTAAACAGAGTTAAACTCTTCTAAGCCCACTGACTTCAATGAACTTTGAAGAATGTAACTCTGTTTAGGAATGTACTGTAAATATGATGCTCTAGACACCACCATGTAGTGGCTCTTCGGGGCACCCACAAATCTGATGTTTAAACCCTGAAACATGTCTGCAACTGGAATGACTTACAGAAATGTACATTGCACATCTTTTCCTGGTACTTACGTTTGCTAAACAGAGTCTTTCTAGAAAGTTATCCAATCGTGCAAAAACCATTAAGGAGGGGAAATCCCACTGCTTCAGCTCTTGGCCTGGCTGAAAGTAAGTGCTGAGATTTTCTCTTCGTTCTTCAAAGGTCTGCTTGAAGTAGTTGAAAATATCAAAAGTATTCTGTACTTTACTCAAACTTTCTTCTATTTCTCCTTTCAGCAGATCTTCTGGATTGAGATAACTCCTGGCCTAGATGGGCAGAGTAGCAAAACAATACTTAACCAAACAAAGAAAAAGACACATAGACATAATTTTATCATTCACCAGTTGAGGCACCTAAACCTTATTTCCCACTTGATCTTCGGTTTCTTGCATTGTCTATTTATTTGGAAAACATCACTAATTCATCAGAGTTGGTATACAATATAACAGGATAGGAAACAGGGTACACTATTTATGCACACACAGAAAGACATACAGACACAAATAATTGGCCATTCATCATATAGGAAGAGGGACAGCAACCTCTGCCTCAATGCTGTTTTAGGAAAAAGCAATTTTCTAATGAAGGTACAACCTCTATTTCTGTCACCACTGTAATTTCCATGGTTAAATAGGACTCCATGAGTCACTGGTGTAGAGAAGAAAGTGCTGGATATTAACAAAGGAAAACTGGCTTCCAATCTCTCACTCAGCCATTAAGTACACTGATGAGTGATCACACGAGTATCAGTATCCTTCAGCTTAGCTTACCTTACAGAGGTGTTGTGAGTATAAAGTGTAGGGCAGCAGTCATGTATGTTACACTGAGCTCCTTAGAAGAGGGGCACAAATGTTATAATAAGTAAATAATGTTTAAGCTGTTCTGCAGCCCCTGTACACACAGTGTTCAAGCCTATTTCACTAAATAACAAAAATAACTCCATAGATATGTTTGAAAAACAAATGGACCATCCGTCCACAAAAAAGGGAAGCTTTTGTACAAACTTTGCAAGCAGGAGTTGCAGAAAAAACAGGGCATCTCCCTTAGATACAGCATTTCTGCTTCAAGGTCCCCATGATCTGTCAAGTGGTGTCAACAGAAGATTGAACCATGCCTGCTGCATTGGAACAGCAGCAATGGCAGGTACAGATACTTTCTAAGGTTAAGGAAAGCCTTCGTATGAAGCCTTAGAGAAGCTCTCACTGGCAGAGTGCACAATCTAAGTTGCAGAATCCAATATGTTATTTGGTGACCTTGTATCGGAAGGCCCCTGGTGGATAATTAGTAGAGAATTTTCTCCATTTTCCAAGATTGGCTATGGGGCAAGGGGCAGAACCACAGCATGGCTTACCTGCCGGATAAGGAGACCGCAGATTTCTTGAAGCAGCACAATTATCCTTGCAGGTGTGCTGTAATATTTTGAGGTGGCCCAGATAAAGCACACCACATGAAGCATTTGATCGAGCAGTGGCTTCACATCATTAAACTCTACATTCTCGATTTTTTCTAGAGTGCTCTGGAGGGGCTTTAAATGCAAGTTTATGTCCTGGGCTTCAATTAATGCTGTGATTTTTGAAAGGAGAGAAAATAGTTTCACTCAAGAGATGCTGGGACCTATACATTCCTTAAAGTATAGTTTTAAGTTCACTCACTTGGAAATAAATGCTATTTGATTCAATAGAACTTTCTTCCAAAAAAATGCATTTGGAATTAAAATGCTGGGTACACAGAAGCTTCCTTGGGCTTACAATTACACATACAACAACAACAGTACAGCACACAATAAAAAGTAGCAATGGCTTCTACATTTTCCTATGATGGATTATATGGATTTATTCCAGACAACAGATGCATTTCACTTTGACGAAGTCTCCTTTGTGAATATTTTGTGGGAAATTCAGCTCACGGTTGTTTTTTGTTATTCTTTGTTACAATTACACATGACAGGGTAAAAAGCTGAAATTGAAAAAGTAATGGAACTTGGATATTTTCTTTAGGTTACTAAAGAATACACCTACAAACTTTTTTTAAAGACAGCATAGCTTCCACTGAGAGCCACTGTGACGTAGCAGTTAGAGTGTTGGACTAGGACCCAGGAGCCACAGGTTCATTCCTGCTGGGTGACATCGGGTCAGTCATTCGTTGTTTCCCTAACCTACCTCATAGAACTGTTGTGAGAATAAAATGGAGGAGGGGAGACTATTGTATGCTGCCCTTAGTTCCTTGGAAGAACAGCAGGATAAAAACATACCCAATAATACTGCAGGGCACCAGTACATTGAACTTAGCCTGGAAACACACAGAAATTCAATGTGGTTATTTTAAAATAGGCCTAAGGAGCTGCGGCCTCCCACACCAACCAACAGACAAGCAGCTACAACTTGCACAAGCTAAAGCATCCAAGTTACTCTCAAGGGCAGTCCCATGAACTTTCACATCTCACCTGCTTCTACGTCTCTGAACATCGACCTGAAGGCAGGGAGGTAGGTGCTCTGAACTCTGTCTAGCAACTCCACCATCGTCAAAGCCCGCCTCATTTTCAGCTGGCTGTAAATGCACTGCAGATCCTCACATCTACAGCAAAACCAAGATGATGCAATAAAAGTCATTCCATTCCAATTCAATGGGCAACATTCTTGCAGCAAAGCCACAGACGTGGATCCCATCAAAAATTTATGATGATGGAAGGATTGCTGTTCACAAAGCACAGCCTTCTCACCTCCCCATGCATAAAGCCCTGAAATGCTGCTTCTGGGGAACAGGGGACTCCTCCCTCCAGAAGCAGCATGTGGGGAGAGTCAGTATAAATCACCTCCCCTTTCATTAGCAGAAACCCTTCATGGGATCCTACCCAGGATATTCACCAGGACAATTGATTGCATAAAACAAAAAAGATTTTTTGTGCTAACCAGAAACGAAGCCACTGTATAATTCAACAGTTCAGATTCTAACTATTTTCCTGGCTAATATTTCCCCGTAAGCAGACAGACACCTTTGGTCCAGTCCAATAAACAGAAATGACTGTTCCCATCCTTTCATTCTACTTGGAACGGGATCAATGTTGAACCTATGGGTTCTTCATGCAGCAGACCTTGTGTAACAGTAGCTAGTCTGTTTACACCTGCAGTACAGTATGAGGTTAACCACTTACCTGCTTTTCCAAAACTCCAGCTCCACCTTTGGATTGGGATCTTGACCTTCCAAAAGTGGCTCTGATGACTCTCTCTTCAGAACTTTCTGTACCTGGTAACTCCATTCAATAACTGCTGACTCGATGGCATGCACAATGGATTTGTCCACTAGCTCAATGCTGCAGAAAGCAAAAATATCACCAGTTTAATTTTGTTTCTCATTTGAGGGTGCTGGATATGGACACATATATCTGTAAAATTATAATCTGAATTGAAGTTCTATCTCTATTAAAGGTGGAATTGCCACAGACTTAAGTTACATTTAGATTCCACTTTTATTGACCTAGCTCACTTTTTATCATATGCAATATAATTCATGCCCACATTTCTCTTTCTATCACAACAACTACTTGGTGAAGATATTTTAAAATAGATCACGCAAGAACAACAGATTCAGTATCACACCGTCAAGCTGCACTGACTATTAGAACTGTCCATGCCAGAGTCATTTAAATCTGCAGACATCTTTGGAACTGTGAAAAAGGGTGACCATCAACAAAATGGCTGCCACAGAAGGCAGAGCCAGCTACAAACTGGCTGCCACAGGAAGCAAAGCCAAACAAAATGCCAGGGAGGAAGGTTATGCATGGCTTTCATAGCAACTCTTCAGTATTTAAAGCAGAAGCTCTGTTTAACAGAATGGCTTATAATCTGCACAACCAATCAGAAGCCCTGCCCACTTTCTTAAAACACTTAGTGGGTGCCTGGAAAGTTTCTACTTTTGTATCAAATCATTGAAAAGAGAACGAAATGGCATTTGGAGCACTGAAGGCAAATGTGTTACAGAAAGTATTCACTGTTAACTAAAATATACATCAGCATCTATAAAGATATACAGTGCCTTTAATAAATGAAAAAAATCATATTATAATGCAGCAAAAAATCAATTAGTTGATGAATTGACTGTTTCATAGAACAAAGCCAATAATTCAAAGGAGTACATAGATTTAATTCAGGTTTTTTTTAAACTCACCTTTTCTCCTTGTCAAAGTCAGCGTCAGCAGGGAGAAGCAGTAAAGTTTTGCCTTTTACTTGACCAACAACCACAAAAACACTATTTTCCAGGCTGCAGATGTGTCGAATAACATCCTGAGACACTACAAGTGGCCAGTCGTGATGGTTCTGTTGGTTTGCCAACAGTGGCACCACTACCTAGAAAAGTAACCACTGGGGTTGTGTTAAGAAATTAACATCAAAAAGGAAGCAGAAGAGAAAGTTCCACAATCTGTGGCTTGCCTGACTCTCATTTTAGCCAGGTCATAATCAATCACAGCAGGACCTGGCTGGAAGAACACTTTATAGACAGTCCTCTATTGTTTTCTGATTCCTTGTTAAGAGAGACCATTACTCCATCACTCCCTGAACTGCTACCTGAAATGGAGCATTTGTCAGACTCAGACTCTTGCCTTTGTATTTGAGGCACTGGATCTGTGTAAATTGTAATCATGGCTCTCTGATGTACATAGCTTTGCTTGTTCCTATCTATTATAGTGCTTCTGCCATTTCCGTTCTCATGCCTTTTGTTCCCATACTCCATAGAGCACCTGCTGGCATGTTATCAATCTGTCTGCAAGGTTCCTCCTCTGCCATTCTTGAGAGGAGGAGGATTGAGACATGTCTGAGAGACTGTAGATTAGCTGCGCTATGTAATTCTAATCAAGAGTACCTCCTCCAGAGGCCAGGGAAGCTTTTGCTTTTCAACCTTCTCACAGCCTTCGAGAAAGTCTGTCATGATAAACATTCTCACCATTATAATTGTCTTGTATTACTGCACCTGCCTACTATGTAATACTGACGTATGTATGAGGGCTGGACCAAAGTTCATGTAGTTTCCAACTTTGTAATATTCCTCAGTTCTGGCAAAAAGTTCAACTTGAATGCGACTTTTCTGACTTCTAAAATAAAGCCTATTAAAAGACTTATCGAGTCTGACAGCATTAGAGAACTTAGAAGTACTTCAAGTCATCTTTGTGACAAAGTACAAGTGCATTAGGGCAGGCAGGTTGAGCAGGAAGCAAGACATTGACCCGCTAGGAACAGAAAATTAGGTGTTCAATCTCAGTTCCCACATACACATCACCACTTTTCTTCTGTTCAAGGTCTGGTTCTTTTTAAAGTTACAAATTCTGTTGCTATCTGTTTTTACCAACAACTTAATAAAGCGTAAGAGGTTGCAGTGAGAAGAACCTATAATTGTTACACAGGAATCACAAGCCATACTACTACCATGTAGCACAGCATTATTTTTTGAGAGCTACCCCTGACCCAGATAAGCCCAGGCTAGCCTGATCTCATCAGCTCTCAGAAGCTAAGCAGAGTTGGCCCTGGTCGGTATTGGGATGGGAGACCACCATAGAATACCAGGGTGATGACACAAAAGCAAGCAATGGCAAACCAACTCTGAACATCTTTTGTCTTGAAAACCCCATGGCCCAAACCACACACGCGTACTCATTCACCTTGAAAATCCTACAGGGTCGCCATAAATCAGCTGCAACTCGACGGCACTTTACACACACATATTACAACTAACACTTGCTGCTGCAATTCCATTGGCAGACTAACAAACCCCAAGTCTAGATTGCAAGAAATTATCAACAGAGTTAATGCCTCTAATTTATTTCCACAAATACAGTTTTTTCTATCTATTTAATGTTGGACAATGGGTTATTTAACTTTAACATACATATTCACTATTATATGTAAACCTATAGTTCTGATGTCTTTGTTTCTATCTTAAATTGAGGGTAGTCAAGACAGATCACCTCCATGACTTCTTGTATCACTACTCTGCTCTGGACCCTTTGGAGGCTGTTTTCAGACCGGCCGATGGGAGGTTGTCAGCTACATCCAGCAGAGTCACTAGCCAACGCCATCACCACTACCACACCCGACTGGCCCCGCCACACCCCCTCTCCAAATACAGGCTTCCTATTGGATGGCTCTGCTCAGCCGGCCGTGCAGCTATACTAATGAAGCAGCAGAGTTTGGTATGAGGGCTTATCATGCTGACCCGGGAAGAGCACATACCTGTGGCCTACACCGTGGAGTCATCTTGGCCGACTGAAGATGCGAGTTCTTGGGATTCCTAATCTAATCTAATCTAATATGGCGGCCGCAGAAGAGCCTCGGTGTTTTGGCTCTTGTGTTTTCGGAATTTGAGAGCTTAAATTCGTAAGTCCAGCGACCACTTTTGACCAATAATGCTGATAACGCATCCCTGCCTTCCCTGCCTTCGAATTGCACAGCGTCTTGGGACAGCGTTTTCCTCACATCCAACAACGCCTGCATTTTCTCCGACATGGCCTGAGAAGCCGCAGCCCGGGTGGGGTCGCAAGCCTCGGCACAGCACAAGAACTCCCTGGGCACTTACTGTTGGGTGTCCGGGACGGCGTGGGCTCAGCGGCGCGGACCGTGGAGGCGGCGCTGGCCGAGGGTGCGGGGGAACAATGCAGAGCTCTTTTTGGACTGGTTGCCCCCTTGCCCTCGGGGCGCTTCGGTGCTGCTGGCCCAGGGACGGACCGCGGAGCGCTTGGGGCTTCGTTTGGGTCGGCTGACTGTGCGGTGGCTGTCCTGATAGAGTGCTCCCACAACGGCTGCAGCGGTGACTGCTGCCGCTTCAGCGGCAACCGGGTACAGGAGGAGACAGAGCTGGAGATGCGCCTTCAGTCGGTGGTGAGGAGTTTGGGGTGGGATTCCCCCCTTCCCCCCCTTGGACTGCCTGGGAAGATCAGGGGCCAGTCTACAGGGGAGGAGGATGCTTGCAACAGAGGAGGCTGGTTTACAATGAAGGAGAACGTGGGACTGTTAAAGACTAGTTACTGCCCCTAGTGGGGAGTTGCGGAAGATCACGATCAAGCTTAAGAGAAGAAGAACATTTGATGGGGAGGAAAGTGACTTTATTTTTCCTCCCTGGACGGTGGTGGTCGTAACCATCAGGACAAATTTTGACAGTGAATGCCATTAGTTGTGTGAATGTTGTCTGGATACAGAGAAGAATGAGTAAATAGCCTGCTATTAATGTTGATGAGAGCAGTAGATTGATTGGTTGTAAGGAGAACTGAATGTTGGCGTAGGTGTGGTTAGGTTTTCTTTGTTTTTATTACAGCCAAGTATACTATTGTGTATGAAAAGTTTATATAGCAGAGTGTGAGTGTATAGTTGAATACCAGTTGAGTGGGAGCAGCATCTGGAGGACGGTTGACTAGCTTGTTACGGGCGGTCTGGACCGGCCAAGGTAGCAATGCCAACACAACAGATTCCGGTGCTCTTTGGGAGGGGAAAGTATAGTGGTGGGTCCAGGCCGTGGAGCACGGGAAGGGCACTGAGAAACAATAGGGCTCGGCGCCCTTCCAGCCTGCGACCTATCCCAAAGGATGATGGCAGTGGGGCTAGGATTAGTAACCCCCCTTCAACATTGGTGTTGTGCAATGCCAGGTCTATTAATAATAAAACAATGGTCCTTAGGGACTTTATTGTGGAACAACAGGCTGACCTGGCATGCGTGACTGAGACCTGGGTGCGGGATGGGGAGACTGTAGCTCTCTCCCAGCTTGCCCCACCTGGGTTTTC